GCCACGGGGAGGCTGCTCGGGCTCCGCTTCCCCGCTGGTCTGTGCGCGGCAGAACCGGGTCGGTCCTGTTGCACACCGGCATCAGCAGCCGCCCTCCGGCCTTGCCCGAAACGCAGGTAAATCAGCCCAAATGCCAGCAAATTCAGGCCRCTCCAGCTCCTCCTGTGCCCGACTAGCAAGCACTAAGGCTGAATATTGAGCCACGAGCCCTCTGCAGCCCCAGTAACTTYTTGCTTKGTTTTGTTTTTCACACCGGACCTGGGGAAGATGCAGCTGCACAGGGAGGTGCTGGTAAACCCACGTCATTCCTAGCAAAGACAACACCATTCCCTTGGAGCAAAGACCGTGTGGATAGGCAGTATTTTCAGGGGGCAGTTACACAYGCAGCAAGTTTTTCCCCAGTATTTTGTTTCAGGTTGCCACCTCCCGAGTTATTTGGTCCTTCCCTGCTCTCCCACTGTGCGGGAGACCAAGGTCAGTCCATGGAGCTTTGAACTGGTGCAGAAAGAGCAGCAGGAACTGGGCAAGGAAGAGCATTCCGTGGGCTGAGGCCTGGAAAAGGGATGATATCCCAAATATCCTGGGATGCCACCCAGGAAGGTGCCAGTGCCACCCTGCTCTGTAATTACGGGCTGTGTAAAGATGCAAGATGGAAACTAGGGTTTGCTTGTCCCTTTTGCCCAAGCGCTCCGAAAGCGTTTCAAAGCTGGGGTAGGGCAGGGGAAAACAGGATGGACGGAAAGAGGAATGTCCTGGAAGGAGTTTATCACGGACTCGAATGCAAGAGTCTCCCGAGTCATGAAATACCCTTCTGAATTTATCCACAGGACTTGTTTACAAGCTCCTTAGCTCCTCTTCAAGCCTTCCTTGCAGGAAAGCCATCCCGTCGAGGTAGGCAAGGGCTCCGAGTGGAGAGCACAGACGCAGGTCTCATGATCTGTGTCTGACTTTCTCTGCTCCCTGTGAGGCTAAAACGTCTCCGTTTGTGCCCGTCGCTGCTTGTCAGCAGTGGCTACTGGTGGAACAAGGCTCTGGCCCTGTCCTCTCACAGCCTCACTTCAGACACCTGCACGTGTTGGTGAGACCCCCTGGGTTCCTTTCTCCAGCCCAGCTCTTTCAGCCCTTTCCAACACAGGAGGAAGCCTCYGTTAGGTCACTGGTGCCTGCGGTGGCTCCTCCTGCCCAGGGACAGGTCCCTGCACTGGCCTTGCTGCAGCCCCACGAGGTTCCTCCCCAACCACCTCTCCTGCTCCCATGGGTGCTGGATCAGCCCCTGCTCCCAGTTTGGGACCACCAGCAAGTGCTGCGGGTGCCCCCTGTCACAGAGTGGTCGAGGTCGGCAGGGATCCCCAGGGATCCCCCMGTGCAGCCCCTGCTCCAGCAGGGACACCCGGAGCACCCGGGCGCATCCCGGCGCGTTGGGAGCTCTCCAGAGCAGGAGCCTCCGCAGCCTCCCCGGGCAGCCTCACCCAGGGCTCGGCCACCCTCACACTCACCTTCTTCTTCCTCACGGGCACACGGAGCTGCCGGGGTTCAACTTGKCCCCATGGCCCCTTGTCCCGGCACCGGCCACCACCGGGAAGAGCTTGGCCCTTTCCTGCCTCCATCCTCCCCTCGGGTGCTTGGACACAGTGACCAGGTCCCCTCTCGGCCTCCTCTCCTCCAGGCTGCACAGGCCCCGCTCGCTGAGTCCTTCCTCACACGAGAGCTGCTCCAGGCCCTTCCTCATCATCATTGCTCTGCACTGGCCCCTCTCCAGCAGCCCCACGTGCCCCTTGTGCTGGGGGGGCCCTTGGACCCTCAGCCGGGTCACCGAGGAAGAGGCTGGACGGGACTGGCCCCAGTCCCGACCTCAGGGACCCCCCAGCTCCCGGTGCCAACAGACCCTGCGCGCCGAGCGTGGCCTCTGCGCGCTGCCCTGGGGCCGGTTCTCCACGCGCCCACCTGCCCGCTCGTCCCCCCAGCGCCCGGAGCTCCCCACGAGGAAGCTGCGGGGGACAGCGTGGGAAGCCCAGACACCCCCGACCCCCCTCATCCACCACCCGGCACAGGGGTCTGGGGTCGCTCCCCATGGTTCCCCTTGGTCAATCCGCGGTGACTCCTCCCRATCACCTCGTCCTTCGTGTGCTCGGAAACGCTATCCACGATTAGCTGCTCCGTATCTCTCCAGGGACTGGATGAATCTGACTGGCCTTTAGTTCCCTGGGTCCATCCGGCCCTTTTTGAAGGCTGCAATGACCTTTGCTTTCTTCCAGTCCTCRGCATCTCTGCCAGGTGCCTTCGTACCTGAACTCAAGTGAATCCTTTTAGGAAGGCCTTTGGTCTCCAGGGGAGGCCCATGGCTTGTGAGGCCAGAGGTCTCCAACCACCTGGGTGCTAAGGAACCGCCGACCTGCGATGAAGAGCCGAGACATGAAGRGCCACCTCGAACAAGCCTCTCCATCCCCACAGGAAGCAGCGCTGAGGAAACCCGACACGTTGAAACCAGACTAAGAAAATTCCTGCCCACTCAGGCAAACAAGTTGTGTCTCTACTGCCTGATTTTTGGGCTGTCTTCACTAAAACCTGAAGCATCCTTTGATAGTTGACACCGCTAGAGCCGTTGAGCAGCTAGTGCAGGTGCAGCCCAAGGGCTGCGGCAGATGAAGGCCACCAAACACCCCGGCCTCTCCGTTCTGCCCCTTTCCTCCCAGCTCCGGACCAGGGACGTCGCTCACCCTCCTCAAGTGATGTGTGTGGACGCCTCCTCGCTGCAACCGCAGCTACCAGTGTCACCATCTGGGGTAACATACACACCTATGGACTCCCACATATACACTGAACATACAGACTCCAACACACAGGTTCCAACTTTCCGTGCCTTTCCGGCAATTACGGTGCTGTGCCTGAATCTAAAGGGGATCAGCACAGCTCTTAGACCCAGCTTAGGGCAGCAAGCGCAGGAAAGGCCTGAGGTGGGACCATGCAGTGAGCTCTGCAGGTGCTGAAGCTGCCACCCAGAGCGGGCCCCTGAAAGCTGCTGCTCTGCCAAGGGCTTTGTTGTGTTAATACCCAGCGAGGAGGTGTCGGCCTGGGCACACCCGTGCCCTTGCTAAGGGGCATTCAAGCTCCCTAGCCCTTGCTAAGGGGCATTCAAGCTCCCTACGGATCACGGCCGGACCATAAACCAGCCGGCAGCCCGGGGGTGCCCGGACGTCCCCGGGCTGCCGCTGCCCCGCGGGTCACCTGCGGCTGAGAGTGGACAGGAAACAAAATATTCCAGGGAATAGGCGATTAGCGGGTGGAAATCCCTTCATTGCAGCTCAAAAAGCAGGTATACACTCACACCAAGCTAACCCCGTTAGTGACCCGTCTCCCCAGTCTGCGACCTGCGCATTCCTGCACCTACTTCAAAACCCCAAATGGCTAAAAATGAACCTTGGAGCACAAGGCAGGGTTCTGTGGGATTTCCATCCAGAAAAAAAAGCCGTAATTTGGTGATATTTCTGTATTACCAAATAACAAGCTGTTGTTTGTCAGCTATTCCAAGTCAAGCTGTATTTTGCTCCTGCTGTAGTGTTTTAATTTAAATGTTGTGCAGTACAACACCCGCTCTTTTGTTAGACATGCGACGTGCCAAAAACCTTTGCAAAGTGACTTTTCTTACTTGAAGCTTGTAAAATAGCTTGTGAACCACGYAGGATCAACCTTGTTGATAAACATGTTCATTAACGTTCTGGCTGCAACCCTTTTTTTCCTATTATTTTTTAATTACCGTGAAGACAAAAGGGAACTTCCCGWGCACTCGCTGTGCTCCGAGCGCAGCCAGAAGGGCAGCCAGGCACGGAGCAGCGCAGAGGGCCCTGCTTTTCCTCAGCAGGAATCAAAAGCAGCCCCGGAACAAGTCAACAGCAGCAGATCTTCTGCATTGCAGGCAAATGCAGCAGAAGCTACAGCCTGTCACCAAAGCAGGRGTGGCCGCAGGTGCCCTCGCCGCCCTGGTGCGAGGCAGAACGAGGCATTTCCAGCATTTCCGTGAGGATATTCCACAAGTTTTGTGACTCACCTGCTGTGGAGAGGAGACAACCGGACCTCGAGGAGCCACAAGGGAGCAGCAGGTTGATCTCAGGAGCTACCAAACACGGGCTAAAGAGAGAYGTGTTGTTAACTGGGAGTGACTCCAAATACCAGGGAAGGGGAAAGGTTACTCGAGCTTATTTAACAGGAAATAACAGCACAAAAACAAGGCAACAAAAATGGGCTGTAAATAAACTTAGGCTGCCAATACCCATCTCTAATTCCCACCAGAAGAAAGATTCTTGAGCATTTAACTCTCCCGGCTTCATTTTAAAGCATCTCTGGATGCAGAAGCAGCCTGAAGTACCGGCAAGCTCAGCTCGGAGCTCCTTTTGGACACTGCTTTGAGATCAGCGTTCTTAGACGAATTTCTGAGCCAAAAATTCTCTTCACATTTCTGCTGTTTGCATAACACTTATACATAACAAGAAAAAATAATAGCCCTTTATGTCCTTAAGAGCCTTTAAARTCATTAATGCAAGCAGCTAATTCTGTTCCTGCTCATTAAACAGGAAGATTCCAAAAATAAATGCACTCAAGCTTCTCAGTATTACAAACCCCGTGTTTTCACCAAAGCTTTTCCTCTCAGCACGGCCTGTTTTCCGTAAAGCCGCCCCGCGCAGCACAGGGGCTGGAGGTTTGGTTCAGGAACGGGTTTCGGGTGCTGATCAATCACCACCGCCGCGCTGCTCGCGGCCGGGGCCGCCACTCGGATTTTTGGCACCTCCATGCGGGACCGGACGCCGCCCCGACCCAAGGGCAGCCCCGACCCAAGGGCAGCGCCGTGAGGCCGTGCACGGTGCCAGGAGAAGCCCCGCTCGCCCAGCCCTGCCTTGCAGAGCTGGAGAAGGGGAGCGGGGGCTGCTGCAGGGACCACCACGCGCCGGGCAGGAGCAGCCCCTCGCTGCGCCCCRGACACACACACAGCAGCACACCGGCTTCGCTTGCGCTTTTATCCAAACTAAAAGAACATGACAGAGATCCGCGCCCACCCCGGGGCGCTCTTTACACATGGCTAAAAAAAACAGACAGGCAGAGGGGGCCGGGGAGAAGTCTCTTTCAAGAAAAGTTCATGCCGACAGGTCGCTGTTGTCAAATCTCTCCTGGTCGTACACTTCTGCCACCACCTTTCTTCCCGCGAACCAGCGCCCGTTGAGAGCCTGAATGGCYTTGTGAGTCTCGGAGGCCATGGAGAACTCCACGAAGATCTTGACAATGATCTCGGCATCCTCTTCCTCTCCCTGCTTCTCCTGGTAGATGATGACCCTGTTCACAGCCCCAAACTTGCCGCACTCCTCTGTCACCTCTCCCTCTAAGTCATCGTCAATGTCCTTTGGATCCACCATGTTGCGCAGCACCATGACAGTTGACTGCAGGGAGAAGAAAGGGGACAAGTGCATGAGTATCACGGGACACCGAGGTGGACCTGCAAAGCCACCACAGGTGACCAACAGGCCTGGGCCGCGCCGGACCGCCCTGTGCTGTCACTAAAAGCACGTTACACGAAGCCAGTAAGGCCCCAGATTCCCAGAGATTAATTAATTTCTCCAAGGGCATCAGCAGCACGAGCCGTTCTCCTGGCCTCCTGTGGTGGCCTCGGTCACAAATGCCTCTGTGCCACCCTTGTGCTTCTAGACTCACCCATGAGGCACAAGTGACACAAAGACCAATCCAAAGACCAACCTGCCTCTTGTTTCTTTCTTTCTTTTTCTCTTTCTCCCTTTCTTTCCCTCCCTTTCTTTCCCTCCCTTTCTTTCCCTCCCTTTCTTTCCCTCCCTTTCTTTCCCTCCCTCCC